AAAACTGTCTTTTAAGAGGCAGAAACCTAGGACAGACCCTTTGGCTCTAGGTGGGTGGTCGTCTCCCTCGACCTTTTTTTTTTATAATATCATGCAGCCCTAATATGCATTATTTTGGACAGCTTATACCCTACCTCAGAAATAAAAAGGACTCTTTTGTTTCATAAAGAAAATATAAGAGAAAATATGTTGCGTGTGTATAAAAATAAATATTTTTTTCAGTTATAATTGGTCTTCAGTCTTACATTGTTAAAATCAAAATCAAATTTTGAACCCAAATTGAACTATAAGTTGAGCATCGTTTCATCCTTGATTAGCACAAGATAAACCTGAAAAGAGGTGAGATGCAGTAATATACTAATAACTAATGATTATTTGAATTGCTGATTAATCTATTTATTATTTTTCAATCCATTAATCCACTCAATCTATAAAATGAGAGAAAATAGTGAATAGTGAGTCCCATAGGTGACACATATCTTGTTTTGTCTGATTAACAGACAGATGATTATTTTACAATGACATCAAGAGAGAGAAAAGCTGCAAATCTTCACACAAAAAACAGCCAGTCAATGTTTGGAACTTAATAATTAAACTATTAATAGACTACAAAATTGTTGCTTCTTAATTCTCTGTAATTAATAAACTGATTATTTATTTCAGCTGTAATTTCAAAACAGATATATCATAGATATTTCATAGGTAAAATAGTGACACTCCATACATTCACCTTAGGTGACTGGACCTGGGGCGTCGTGTGATCGTGACACTGGGAGGTCTGGGAGGCTCTAGGGACTGAGAGAGCTGCACTCTGGCCTGACTGAGGGGGATCCAGGGAGAAGGCCTGCTGGCTGGGTGAGTGGCTATGGCTGCTGCTGGTAGACGTTGACAGAGGGAAAGTGGAGCGGAGGCCCAGTTTGAGTCTGTTGGACAGAGGCTGGGAGATGGCCGTGGGCCAGTGGGAGATCTCTGGGTTAGAAAATGGAGAGGCAGGTAACTGGGACGGTTTAGAAGTGATGGCAGGCACATTAATCCCAATTCTCATGTCTAAGGCACCACTCTGAGCTGGAGCTACGTTGCGTTCTGGCAGTCCTGACAGAATCCCTGCAGTGCTGGCCATCGCCTCCTGTGACATCATCAGCTGCCTCTGTAATGGAGCCAACCTGCTGACACTACAAGCCTCTGTCTCATCCACAGAGTCCACATCAGACATGTCCGCTGGGTAGGTTTTCATCCTCTCAGGCTCAGGGTCGCTGAAAAGCCTCTTAGGCTCCCGGGACTTCCTCTTGAACTTCTTGTTAGTGCCTGGTGCAGTGATCAGTACTGGGTCTTTGTTCATGGATCTATTCCAGGTATTAGTCAGTGGATGAGGGTTCTTCATTTTCCAACAATTAGTGTAACTAACAAGCTGAAGTGAAACAACAAATCTTATTTTCAATATGCAAAATGTAAATTAAACTGAACTAAAGCCTGTCCAACAAAATATTTCACTCACTGAGTGTCATCTTTCTGAACTTTCTCTTGCTGGAAGCATTTGCTTCATTACTGTAAGAAAGTCAATGGGGACTTTGACACAACTTTTGGTCCCAGTCTATGTGAGACTTTAATTTAGAATGTACTCATACTCAACTAGTGTGAGTTTGGTTCAATAAGACAAACTTTCAGCTGTGTAACACTAACTGCACTAACAGAAGCTGCACAGTTGTGTGTGTTACTTTAACTTCACCAGCAGGTTTTCTGTGGCTCCACTCTGTCTGCATAGCAGCATCCTGAATAATCTTGCTACATTAGGACACAAAGCTGTGTAACATCTGCTATTCCGCACGAGTCGTCCCTCTGGATCAACACTTGCAGGGAGTTTTTCCTCAGCTGTAAAGGTTCCTTTCTGTGCAAGCAGTCCAGGCCTGTGCCCCAGAATTGGGGTTACAGTCGAGCTGTCTGAGCGTGGCTCCAGTCAGTCTGCATAGCAGCACTGTGAATAACCCACACTGATACACACACTGAGCACAGATAGGCTGCAGTGGAGCTGCAGCTGCTGGACACAATAATGGGAATGGCACATGAACAGGATGACAAAATCACAGCTCCACATGCAGTCACACTGAGCAGACAGGCTCTACAGGACAGCTCAACCACAGGTCACAGAATCTTATTATTTTATATTATTTACAGAATGAAACAAAAACACCTTCCAAACTTGATCTGCCACAGAGTTCAACCACCACACCTTTGTCAAAATGTCACAGCAGCAGGTCTCTACTGTTCCAAAATGATCCTGTCCCCTACATGCTTCCCTGGCACGGATCCATCCCTCACTGAAGCTCAGGGTTCCTTCTTGAAGAAAGCTCCGGCATCGGTACTATGTACAGTGTGTAACAGTGTGCAACACAGTGTACAGTCCACTGGACTACAATAAGCTCCTTATTTGCAGTAATTAATGCTTAACCAGTCCACTGGTGTGTCTTCTGAGCTGATCTGGCCCTGGTCCGGTCGTCCGGGTATCTCGGGGTCCTGCTTCCCTGCCTGTCCTGAAACACAACAGCGAGTGCAGCGTTCAGAGTGGTGCTGAGTGGTTACAGAGCAGAGGCGGCTCGCACTCCTCTTAACTGCTGGCGTCTGACTGGCTGGATCTGTCTCGAGCCTCACTCACTCACTTACACACACAGAGGGAGAGAGAGAGTATTAGCAGCCGCTGTAGCAAACAAGAGACTCGAATGAAAGAAAAGAAAGATGATCTTCTATTCAGTTACAGAAATAGCGCCTCTTGCTGGCGTGAAGCAGGACCCCCTACGCTTTACTGAATTTGCCCAATCCAAATTACACCATAGGACATTAAAAATAAAGCTGTTCGAGGGAAGGATTAGGGCCACGTGATACAAATTGATTTCACTTCTGAGTTGAAATTAAAAAGAAAACCAAGAAAGTTATCTTCATACTTGATCTTAACATCAGAATCCTAACATTAAAGCTGCAGAAGGTAACTTTTTATAATAATATTGTTTGTCATATTTTCTGAAACTTTCACTAGATCCTTACAGTAGACATGAGATAGATAATCTGTGAAAAAATAATGTTCCTCTGGTTCATTCTAGTGCTCCCAATGGCAATTACAAGAATCCACTGGGCCCAATGAACACAACCAATCAGAACTAAGAAAGATAGTAGATTTTCAGATGGTCTGTCTCAAAATGTCAAAATTTTGTGAAAGGAATCAGCAAATATGACAACGTTATTTTCTATAAAAGTTACCTACTGCATTAATACAATTATTAATACTCAAATACATTTTTCACATGCGGCCATAATCCTCTTAATAAAGGTAAAAATCGTAATGTCCATTTTATGATGAATGAAAGAACAATGTACTAGAGAAAACTTTTGCAATTTCAGTCAGGATTTCGAGTTCTCTCAGCATAGAGAAAGCACTGGTTAAAGTAATAATGACCTTTTAATTGCTTCCGACAATGGACTTGTCTCTGTACTTGTATTATTAGATCTTAGTGCCGCATTTGACACCATTGACCATAATATTCTTTTACAGAGACTTGAGCATATTGGCATTAAAGGAACCGCACTGAGCTGGTTTAAGTCATACTTATCAGATCGTTCTCAGTTTGTAC